CATGGATATTAGAAAATATATATACATATACGATTCTAGAGAAGTCGTTAACCTCTTCCGTGCCAAAGTGAAATCCCTACCATTATAAAGAATTGTCATAGACTGTGATCAAGGAATTGGCATATTTTACACTTGACATATTATGATTCTTGATGATTTATACATATTAAAAGTCATATTTATTCAAGAAAAACAAGGAAAGTACAGTAAGCATGTTCCACTATCTGCTCCACTGAATGAATGGTGACATTTAGGTGCTACGGGTTTCTGCTTTTTTATGTCCTTATTAAGTATTATGTGTGATAATATGCCCAGCAGGAATAAACACAATGTATAATTAAAGCTGAACCTCAGGCAAACAGTTAAACACACAATAAATGCATATAAGACGCTGTTTTACTGTCCAAAAAATTTGTATTTCATCCACTTCTGAGATATGCAGAGAGCACAGCCAGCTGGTGGCCATGTTCTTCCATGCTGCAGTTAAAAAATACAACATGGCCACCTCCCCACCCCCAGCCTGTAATTGGACAGTAAAAGAGCAGCAAAAGACTGATGAAGTCACCTTTCTTCTCTCTCCTCCTATCAGCACATGTGCATGCAAGACTCCTAACTGGCCCCAAGTACTGTCACTCTCTCTACTAAAGTGCTGCTGTACATTTAGGTTCCAAGAGTTTTCAATGACATTAAATTAACATAATTATACAAAACACTAGTTGAATTTAAAAATACACATAATGATTTTATAATGAACACATAACTGCACTTATTGGTGTTTGTTTTTTTATCTCCCCGGAGTTCAGCTGTAAGGTGTATCATTATCCCACTGACTCTTAGCAGGTTGATATTCACACTTTCAGGAATTTTTGGTCAGTTGACAAAATGCATGCCTTCAACACTTTGTATGTGGAATAGAAAATTGACCATAACAACTAATCAGATTTCACCTATCATTTCAACTTTCCATGGTTTGAAACAGAAAAAAGAATTCTGATTGGTTGTTATGGGAAATAAGACATATTCCTGGTAGCCCACACAGCTTACCTAATCCACTTTGCCATCTCGACCCACCAACTCGTGGCTTTCTACTTTCTGAACTCTGGAGTGTTGTTTGGGCTTATAGCAATTATCAAAGCTTGCTGGCACTTGAGAGGTTAACAGACTTCTGTTCAGAACTTTTCTTTTTCATTTCCAAATTGCATTGGACAAATTATAATGTGGCAATCTTTATAAATAGGTTGACATGAATACAGCAATATACAAAGGACTATATACAGATTGAAGTCTAAAGAGTCCTCATTTCCCAGAAATGAAACAAAATGATTTCAATACATTTCCAAAGCGAGTTCAGCAAAAGTGTGAGAAGCCACAGCCAAGAAGATATTGTGAAACCACATGTCCCAGCATTTTCATTGCCCAGGGTTTGGCACACCATGCCTTAGATGCAGTTCCACAGTGTTTATGGTAGAGTGTTGTACCGTGTAAGCCATTGATAATGTAGAAGGTTTGGAGGTTAAGTGATATTGTTTATTGGCTAACTTAAGCTCAGTATACATTCTAATACTGTGCCTGTGTGCATGCACAGGAGTTAAGCTTTTCAGCACTGGCCAATCAAGATGACCAAAGAACGACACCAGGAAGAAACCAGGGTGAAGATGCTGGCACTAGTGAGGAACCTCATGGGCTTCAGACCGTTAAAGCTAAGCTAAGTGTCTCAGGCTTTAGTGCCGCTTTAAGTGATTAAAAATGCAAGCTTTTGAGATAACTTAAATTCCTTCTTCAAGCTTTATAAAGCCTGAAAAAGGAATCCGAGTATCCTGAAAGTTTGCATTTTTAACAGCTTAAGTTAGGTATTAAAGGGTACCACTTAAACTCCAAACTTTTCCAAAGTGTTTGAAATTATACCACTTTCCTTCCTAAAGCTAGAACAGAAAAATTGTCAACTGGAACTTTCCAGAATGGCTGCTACAGCCAAGGCTACCCTCAAGCTCTAGAGGCCAACACTGTCCAACTCTTGGAAGAGGACCTTGGTTGGGAATGGCCATGTTCCTGTGTGATGCTGTATGGGTGTGCTCTATCCAAAAGCTAGCACCATTTCTTAGAGCTGAAGAAGGGCTTCCTCCAGACCTTGACAGGAACCTCACATGTGCCAGGTAAGGGCCACGTTGACAAGTTGCCTTTAATTCCACCCACTAGGCTTGGATTCGTGGAAACATATTGCAGATACAAGGCATAGCACAGCCAAGTTTCAAGAGGGTGGCAGCCAGATTTGCATTCTCTTGTCCCCAAAAATGTCATGGCTTTATAAGCTTGCAGCCAAGAAGCAGATATATCTCTCTTTCTGTTTAATGCATTACTCCTTTCTTTTTAAGGTGTTAGGAGCAATCAGAAAGCACTGTGGCCATGGGGTACATGGGTAATGTCCATGCATAACTGAGATCTGGTAGTTTGTTACTGCATTCATTTGAAGAATTCATTTGCAGTTGCGCAACCAGTTTCTGTTATATTTTTTTGGCAACTGGAAGTCTCTTTGTACCATAATGTAGTGGTGCAATTAAAATTTGCCTAAATGTCACTCTAAAGCCACTATAAGTTTTACATTTTATTATTGCCTGAAATTAAATAGTAATGATTTCAAAGAACTGACCATGTCTCAAACCTGAGATAAACTTTGATATTGTGGATATGGCTAAAATGACATGGCCTGGGATAGATAAAATGATCAAAGGAAGGTTAGTTTTTGAGTAAGTGATCATTTACAGGTCAGTCCTTTCAGCCTCATTGTCAAACTTTGCAAAATTTTATTCATTAATTTTTGGCTTTTTTGTATTCTAGATACACAAACATTGCATCGTAGATAATTTCTTGGCCACTGACAGATTTGGGTTTACTTTTAATTTTACCTGGCTTTAAATTCTATAAGCCCACCTTATGCGCTTTGACATTTAAAGTGTATGTAAACCCTAACAAATGATCTTATATGCTCCCTTTTGATCTCTTTAACCCCCTTATGACAGCTTTACACATATATGTGGCAACAGGGTAGGTGGGCCTTAGCGCCAAGCCCTCACATTTATGTGTTGCTGTCTTGTTCTAGGGCATGTTCAATTGGTACCCCCAAAACCGAGACAGCTCACAGTCAACAACTGATGATCTGAAGCTGATAGACATGGCTCCCGATGACATCAGCATTGTCCAGTCTTAAAATGGCAAGATCTGGATCCTCAACTAGCGGCTGCATGTGTCGCAGCTCATTTACACTGCTGGCTCTGGATGGCATAAAGGGGTTAATAAAACATTGAAAGAGTTTTGTTATATCCGTTCAATAAGTGCAAAAAAAACCCCTATGGTCCTACCAATAATCCAGAGGTATACTATGTTGTGTGCAGTCAGCAGTGTTAACAGTGCTGACCCATTCAGCTCTGGGGACTACAGAACCCGCCCCCCCATCCCCCCACACTTATGTTATTGAGATGAGTAGAGGGGGAGTTTTGTAATCCTAACACACTTCCTGTCAATAGTTATGGTACAGTGAGTGAGTGTTGTCACCCTAGGACAGGAAGTATGTTACACACTTCCTGTCCATAGCTATGGTACAGAGAGTGAGTGTTGTCACCCTACAACAGGAAGTGTGTTGCTAGTAGGATTACTGGGTGAAAATAAAGAGGAAATAAAAGCATTAAAAATAAAATATATTTAGCCACCACATTTAGGTACTGGAAAACTGCAGTGTATTATAGTTTTGTCCTTGGGTTTAGATGCGCTTTAAGTGCTTTTTTTTAAAGGTAAGATTTAGAGACATATCAAACGTGTTTAACAGATTAAAAAATTCCCTGTTAGGCTAGGTTCACACCTGTGCATTTTTTACTGCATTTGCAGATCTGCATAAATGCACTACAATCCAATTTCCATTGCTTTCTATGGGTCCCATTCCAGCAGTGCATTTTTGAAAAAGGTGCAGGGACTTTTTATATGCAGCACAGTGCATTTTTGGCTCCATAGATTTCAAAGGAGCCGCATCAAAATGCATATTTGTTGTGTTTTTGTTAGGGTTTTGTGTTCAACAACTAGTCTCATCCTCCTACAAAAAAAAAAATGCAGAAGCATGATAACGCATTAAAAACACTCCACAAAAGCACATCAAAAACCTCATCAACTGCACAAACCTAGATGTTAACCTAGCCTACAAGCTGACTGTAATTTTTCGATTTAAAAAAAAAAAAAAAAAGAGTGGTCTAATTTTGAAGCAGGTTGTTGTTTCAATATGAAGAGGTTTTTCCAATGTGCTAAATACAACCAATAAACAGTTTTGACTCCTTGAGATGACACGACACTTGGATGCATTGTGCCTGTACTGGCCCCACTGAAATTTGTGAATTGACGGCAGAGCTTTGACATATCAAAGCCATGGCAGCTTACATTGCATCACAGTAGCTGATTTCTTTCCTGGTTCAGACTTTCCTAGCTGTGACATGCTGAGGAGCAGGCGCGGCCACAAACTGGGGAAAAAAAATCACATTTAACAGACAAAGGAATGGGGAAACATTTCTTTAAAAGAAAGAGTTATAGATTCTTTAGAATCATAATAGGGTTATTTTATGAGGCCTTAGAAATATAGTGCTTAGCAAGTTCTTTAAATTTTTAATATTATCCCCTTTGTTTGCTAAATACAGTTCAAACTTTTTTCTTTTTGGAAAAGCTTAAGGATTTGTTATTATTATGTATGATTACAAGGTCCCTTTACATAACCTAGGTATAAAACATACTCCATATAGCTGCTTTTATTTGTTTGATTTCTGAGAAATAAGGGGTTCACGTTGAGCAGTTTTCCTTCAATCTTGAAGGTTTCTGAATTGTCCTCTTAGGCATAGAAGGTCACTTTTAAGCAAAGTAGGGCTGTTCCATTCCTACAAGAAACTCTCTTGCTCATTCACTGTCGTTCTGTGGTGCTAATCTGCAACCTCTGGCATTGGCACCTGGTAGGTAATAGGTAGGCGTCTTCATCGGGGCTGTGCCGCCCTTGGAATGACTCCTGTCAAAGGGGGCAGGGCAGGTGGTGGCTCAGCGCCACCCTGAAGTCCGTGAATGAGGATCCTGGGCACCAGAGGTCTCTGCAAAGCTGGCGGAGGTGCTGTAGGTCCCCTGTACAAATAGAGGGCTGCACTGGGATCCAGGTTGGAAACAAGGCTTTGTGGGTAAAAGTATGGGGAAGGAAACATCCTCTGAAGGGCAGAGTAATTACCCGCCTCTGCCAACAGCTCCAGTCCAACAGCAGTCTGCCTCTTCCACTTTGTCCTGTTGGCAATAAAAAAAAATTACTATGTTGGCATTCAATTTTGCTATAAGATGCACCATCCCAGATCACCCAAAAGTGATATTTTACTTATTGGTGGGCATAATGAGCAGACTCAACTCTTGAGTTAGACTTCAAAATGAGTTCACCCTGCCACAATTCCCAACTCAGTACCTGGCCACCTGGGATTTTTGTGTGTTCCCATCCATATTTTTGTGTTTGAGCTCCACCTGATACTTTCTCTAGAACAGTGGTCTCCAAACTGAGTCCCGTGAGCCGCTTGCTTGCCTTTTCCCAGCCCTTGGGGTACTATGTCTCCCAATAATATGATGCAGTATTTCTGTAAAGAAACCCCCAATGGGTAAACAGCCTGTCCTGGGAGTGATACACCAGCTCATGCCGTACCCCCTGCACACATATAACAGGGAGGAGGTGCATTCAAAAGCAATAACCTACAAAAAACCCACAAGAAAGAAAGGATACAGCACCTCAATGGCTAATGAACAGGATATATTTATTGGAAGTAAAAAATGACAATGCACATCCCATATATTCCCTCCCCCCCCCGCCCGCTCAAAAACCAGCTCCACTCCAACAACATCCCCCTCCTCCACCCCCCAGGACACCCTCAACCTCCACAGCAGACCTGTATGAGGTAGTATTTCTCCCCCACTGACACCAACAATGAGACACCATTCCTTTTGCTGACGCCAATAGTGGGGCATTATTCCTCCAATTGACACTAAAGATGGGGCACTATTCTTCCCATTGACACCATTGGTAGGGCACCATTCCTTCCAACGACACCAACAATGGAACACTATTCCTTCCACTGATACCAACAAAAGGGCACTGTTCTTCCCATTACCACCAATGATGGGGCATTATTCCTCACACTGGCATCAATGATGGGGCACTATTAATCCCATTACCACCAATGATGAGGCACTATTCCTCCCATTACCACCAATGATGGGGCACTATTCCTTATCCTACAGGCCACAGGTGTTTTTTTCTTACAGTATAGGATATTTTCTACCCCAACTGACCCCGCTAAAGACTGAAGGACAGAAAAATGTCCCCTTGTTTAGAAAATTTGAAGACCTCTGCTCTACAATATGAGTTAAAAACTATCCAGCAGGTAAAGTGAGATCCCCTTATAATGGACAAAGAAGGTGTGCAGATCCACGAACAAAAATTCTCACCAATGGGGTTCCCAAGAGATATAAAAACTGTCAGGTGGTTTAACTACTCTACTAAATGCAGGAAAAAAAATTGTGGGAAAAACTGGCCCTTTATTTGTATAAAAAATATTATATCGATTTTAAAGTGATCATTCTAAATAAAGATAAATCAAATTATTGAATGTATTATCTTTTGCATACTGCTCTGTGCCTAGGCAGTAGAATTGTTATTAAAAATGGTTACTGAGACACAGAATTTAGAATTACCTAAAAGAATAAATCTATCTCGCTGCTGACATATTATATTTTATGTTACAATTTATTACTGTTTGTCACAGCACTATTTTGGGAGGATATATTCAATTTTAGCATTCTGCTCAGGACTGGCTAAAAGTGGCTGAAATTAGGGCTGTTTTTTACTTATAGCTGCTTATGCACTGTAAACAAATGCACTCTGATTTAGTAAAGGAGTTCATAGTATATTCTTCTCTACTACCCAACAACCCTAGTTTTTAAGTTACGTTGTAATAAAGATAAGGGCACTTTTAAAATACATTAGTGCTTTTTATCCATTAAGAAAATGCCAAGCAGATTTGAACTCTTCTCGCCTGCCTTTTCTTTCCCTGTACTTTGTATCATGTCTACCACCTGCCTTGTACCTGCAGACAAGGACTGAGAACAATGAAGGCATGTGCACTTTTTTTTTTATTTTAATTTATTAAATGGTTGTGCTTTCCTAATGGATCACATTTTTCACATTAACAATGGTCACTTAAAATATCCAGTAACGTGCAGAGGAATTTAAAAAAAAATGCTGGACTTTCCTCCATTCCCTTATAATTAAATAATTAAGGTGAATATTGTGTCTTCATTGAGCTAAGTTAAAAGTACACTCCTTTGGAAAACCAATCGAACGTATTGAGATCCAAAGTATAAAGGATGAATTCTGTTCTGCACTGCATTCATGTGATCACTGGATATCACAATCTGCTTGAAGGAGGCAGCCCCTGTGTATGTTGAACTACAGTGTACAGAGCCCAGAGAAGGAATGAGAACAAGGAATGCCTTAGGGATCCCTCTAGACATGCATTCTACTCTCCTGAAATCCATGTCTGAAATCACAGGAAATGGAGGGTGCATGGGCAGGGCCAGGGGCGGACTGACAACTCATGGGGCCCCCGGGCAATAGGGGATCATGGGACCCCTGTGTCCTTGCCCAAACTGCCCAGGGGCGTACTGACCATTTGGAAACTTGGGCAAAGCCTATGAAAGAGGTACCGGGGCATCTCATGGGGCCCCCTACTGACCCCAGGCCCTCGGGCAGTGCCCGAGTTTCCAAATGGTCAGTACGCCCCTGGGCAGGGCTTAGCTAAACTCAGGGGCTGCCTGGCTTGGGCAATTTGTGATCTAGAGTGCTTTCATGAATGCATTGCAGCACAGATATAATTATTAAGGGCTTCTAGCACTGAGGATAGGGAAAAAACATTAGGTCTTGGATTGTATCTCCAAATAAGCTATCCATGGATAGGCTAAAAAAATGTTAAAGTATTTTTAAAGTACAGTAACAGCTTAAAGACAGTATGTCAAAAAAAAAAATGAAAAAGAAGAAAATAAAATTAATTTTACATACTTTTTGTAATGACTGTACACTATAATAGGAATGAGTTTATTCTGTATTATAAAAAAAATAACTTTTGCGGCAGTAATGATCATGTGACACTAAATTATACAGTAGGATTGCCCAAATGTATTAATTTATTGCAGGTACTTATATAGCGCCGTCAATTTTATGCAGTGCTTTACATATATTGTACATTCACATCAAATCTTATTTTCCCATTTGATATTTGTAGGGGTAATTTGATGAATGTTTGTTTCAACTGGCTAATACATATTTTCTATCTAATTTAATTTAGGTGTTTGATCTCAAAACCAGTCTGTTGATTTGGTAAGATCACTTTTGCAGTTTTTAAAAATGTATTTCTAAATGGAAACCACTAGAATTTTATAATTGCAGTGTATAGTACTGATACTGTATGCCAATAAAATTCTATCAATCATATGCCCCTGGATCACATTATCACATCTTTTAAATCAGGAATAGATAGAGACATAGAGGGGGTTATTTACTAAAAATGGAGGTTGCAAAATCTGGTGCGACTCTGCATAGAAACCAATTAATAAATCTCTCCCAAAATGTCAATAGTAATCAAACCAGAAGGAGGGGCAAGTGTACTGTACAAAATTCCCCAGCACTTAGCCCTGATGGCTAGCAAATGGAAGCTCTTAAAGTAAAGCAGACGCTAAGGGTACTGAACAGACCTTGGCCATACAGTTTAGGTAGTTTAGAACCTGCACATATATTTAAGTGACCACTCCAGTATTTTTGTCACTTCTTTATGATGTTGAAATATGTCCCACCCTCTCCTGATTCCTACTTGTTTCTATTGGTCAGTAAGGCCGCCTATCAGGGGCGAACTGACAACTTATGGGGCCCCCGGGCAATAGGGGATCATGGGGCCCCTGGGTCCTTGCCCAAACTCAAAAAAGCCTATGAAAAAGGTACCAGGGGCATCTCATGGGGCCCCCTACTGACCCGGGCCCTCGGGCAGTGCCCGAGTTTCCAAATGGTCAGTCCGCCCCTGCCGCCTATTATTTTGTTTGGTCAATAGGAAGCAAAAGGGCAAGCTTTGACACAAAAAGGGAAAAAAATGAATCCGATGGATTACAATAAGCATTAGTAGTATGGTATAATAAAGTGTCCAAAACCAAAGAAATGGTAATTTTCCTAAAGTAGTGAAATTTTAGTTTTGGATAAAGAGCGCTGGTTTGAACTGCAGATACCTCCAGGTTAGCACCCAAATGTAAGATATCTAGGCCATAGATAGAATGCAGTTATGTGATACAGAAAATTATTATTTCATCCACCATCTAGTATCTAACGCCAACATGGAATTCTGCAGGTTTTGTAGAAATATGTATCCCAGCATGCTGTCTCTGCATATGGATATTGGGTGATATTGGAACATAGTGACGCCTTCAAGATGACAATATTTGCCCTAAAATACAGTCAGTTAGATTATATTCATGCTGGTGTTGGGGGCAGATGAGATTCCAATATCTGTTTTGTTGGGGCAGTATCAGGGGCGGACTGACAATTGATGGGGCCCCCAGGCAATAGGGAATCATGGGGCCCCTGTGTCCTCGCCCACACTCAAATCACACCCAAAAAAGCCTATGAAAGGTACCTGGGAAATCTCATGGGCCCCCCTACTGACTCCGGGCCCTTGGGCAGTGCCCGAGTCCACGAATGGTCAGTCCGCCCTTGGGCAGCATGGGTGATCCAACATTTGCCCCACAGCAACCCATCCACCCAGATTTATTGAGCCACCAAAGATTTCCTGTAGATCCATTTGGTTGATTTACTAAAGAAGTAAAAACTGTTCACTTAGCAGATTAAATGTTCACTGACCTTGGTACATATGGTATAGCTCTGTTTCAGAGCAAAGAGTTATATAGCGGAATCTACATTTTTTTTATTTTTCATTTATTATAGATACTTATATAGCGCCGTCAATTTACGCAGCGCTTTACATATATATTGCACATTCACATCAGTCTCTAACCCTCAAGGGGTGTACAATCTAAGGTCCATAACTCACATTCATACATACACATACTAGGGCCAATTTAGACAGGAGCCAATTACCCTACCAGCATGTCTTTGGAGTTTGGGAGGAAACCGGAGTACCCGGAGGAAACTCACTCAGGCACAAGGAGAACATGCAAACTCCAGGCAGGTAGTGCTGTGTTGAAGG